TTTTTTTTTTATTATTTATTTATTTATTTTATTAAATGATAGCTGTATACATTAATGCAAACATAGGGCACAGTGTAGTGTTTTCATATACAATTTGAAATACTTTCATCAAGCTGGTTAATATAGACTTTATGTCATTTAGTTTTTTGGAGTTTGGCTGTCACCTAAAGAATGAGGAGGAATTAATTATAAGTTAGGGGCAGGGACTAACAGGTTTTTAGATAGAGCAGTCTGGTTTGCATTTAAAAACCTGGAGGGAAAAGATGGTTGTACACCTTTTGAAATGTATTCTTGGAAAGTTCATTGTGGTTAAAGTTAGAGACCAAGGGACAAAAAAGATAGAGCAAGGAGAGAGAGAGAGAGAGAGAGAGAGAGATATGAAGCTAGAAAAGCAAATAGATGCCTTATCTTCCAGAGCTTTGCCTGTGAATTGTGGCAGTTTGACCTTGAAAAATAACTCCCACACTCAGTTTCTCATAGTAAAAGGCTACAATGAAACTCGTTTGGCCCATGGCAATAAAGGTAAAGCTGGAAAGTTTCTAGCTTCTCACACACAGGGGTCTCCGAAAATATTTCCCAATAATTTTAAATATTCTTTATCTGGTGAAAATTTTGTCCTTGGACCATAGAATAAAACAAATAAGTTAAAAAAATAATAAGTTGACTAAAGATTCTCTAATGGGCATGTATTATAATTTTTTAATTATTTCTCTTGATCAGCCAAAATTTCGTGAGCTAATCACTAAATCTGATCACTTTTTTTTTTTTTCTGGTTACTCTACTACTGAGTATACTAGAAAAGCCAAAAGACTGGTATTAAAGCTTATGAAATCTTTTACTCTGCTTGAGAGGAACAGGATGCTTCTAATTAAGTGTGTAGAGATGGCTTTGCAAATCCTTCTAGAGATAATTTTCTTTACATAGTCTGGAGAGATTTTCTCGATAAAGTTTTAAGACTGTCATTTTGGTTTTTCTCTCATAGTTTTGTGAATTTAAAATGTGTATGGGTATGAGTTCTATAGATTTGTTACTTATTAACCATATAAAATTATAAAATAATGTATCTTTAAAATTAAAAATTGGCATTACATCACCCACTCTACCTGCTATTAACTGTAGAAAATTTCCTTCTTTCTCTATTTCCATATAGTTATTTTAAACACAGGTTTTTTTTAATTATAAAAGTAGGACATTTTCATAACTTTATTTTTAAAGTGAGAGGTAGAAGTTGAAGGCCCTCTTCTTCACCATTTAATTATAAAAGTAGTCATAACTTTATTTTTAAAGTGAGAGGTAGGAGTCGAAGGCCCTCTTCCTCACCATTTCTCTACTTTGCAGAGATAGTTACTCTTAACACTTGCTTTTCTTCTCTGTGTTCCTATCATGACTTCCAACGAGTCTGACTCATGACAATTTAAAGTCAGAGGATGGAACTAATGTATTTAACAAATATTAATTGAATTGAAGTTTCTTATAGCTAACTCATTTGATTGTTGACATGAGTAAAGAGTATGATTCTGGTTAAAATGTCATCAGTTTATGATTTAATCTGCTGTCTAATCATTCCTTGTGTCCTTAGTTTGATACTAATCAGTCTCACTACAGTTGCTGCTTTTGGGTACTTTTTATCCTGGTACTTTTTATGCTTGTTAGCTTTGGTTGACATGGAATAGATTTGCAATTAAATGATTTACAGTACTCACCAATATTTTCCATACTTTTTCAATAAACTATTTGGTTTTATTTTTTATCTTTATTTTTGGAGACAGAATGTCACTCAATTGCCCTGGAGTTGTGTGCCATGGCATCATAGCTCACAGCAACCTCAAACTCTTGGGCTCCAGTGATTCTCTTGCCTCTGCCTCCCAAGTAACACCTGCCACATCGCCTAGCTATTTTTTAGAGATGGACTCTTGCTCTTCCTCAGGCTCATCTTGAACTCCTGAGCTCAAGCAATCTGCCTGCCTCGACCTCCCAGAGTGCTAGGATTACAAGCATGAGCCACTGCTCCTGGCCCTAATAAAATATTTTAATTGTTACTTTTAGTTTGTGGCACAGATATGAAATTGCTCTGTTAATGTACCATTTTGTTTTATGATGTAATTTATAACAGTGTGACTTTGGGGGGTACATAAAATTAACAAATTCTCTTATTGAGGTTCATGATACTTTTCCTTGATGGTATGCTTTTTAGGGCCATTAGTCCTAATGCAGGTGGTATTCTGAGTTGATGAAATGAATGCCAAGTTTTAGATTAGGACCCAAACGTATCTTTTCTACCTTATTAACTCGACATAAATGAAAACAAATATATGTTAAATACTCATTGTAAGTAGGCTTACCCAAAGTATGTAAGCATGCAGATGACTAGGTTGAAGGTACTCTGAGTTATAAACATTTGACAAATATGAGACATGCGCTTATGAACAGAGGCAATTACAGGTAAAAGGTAAATGCACCTGTTCCAGCTTACATACAAATTTAACTTAAGAACAAACCCGCAGACCTCATCTCTACTAAAAATAGAAAAACTAGCTGAGCATTGTGGCACCTGCCTGTAGTCCCAGCTACTTGGGAGGCTGAAGATTGCTTGAAGTTTGAGGTTGCTGTGAGCGATGCTGCCATGGCACTCTACCAAGGGTGACAGGATGAAACTCTTCGTCAAAAAACAAAAAAGAACAAAGATACAAAACCTATCTCATTTGTAACCCAGGGACTGCCTGTCTGTTAAAGTTACAATCTGTAGTTGGTTCAAGAAATATAACTTGGGTGTCTGTGGTTCAGCCAAGTACAGTGTTAGGTGATGGGATTTAAAAAGTTGAATAAGAGTCTTTTTCCTTGACTTTGCGGTCAATTTTTATCCTTTTTGATTTCTAGCTAGACCTGCATATTGAAAAGGGCATAGACTAGGAAGATTGAGGAAGTGGAGAAGAGAGAGGGAAGTAGTTTGGAGTGCTTCAGTGACCTTTATTGAAGTCTGGAATCATGAATCAAAATCTGGTGAAGAATGGATATAATGTAGAGAAGTCCATTGATCTCCACACTCCAGACTGTTGGAGGGAATGTGACTCGCTCTACTACTAGGCCTTTTCTGTCAAGAAAAGTTTTTTAAATCAGTATATTTCTTGTTAAACATACCTATGTTTGTTTAATGACAAACTTATTTTTGACCAATGACAATATCTTTAAGATTCTCTTTTACAAGCAGAGAAATAGTTGCCCTTTAAACAGAAAGGTCTAGTCCTGGAGAACTCAAATACATGTGAGATAAAAACATTGTCTACATTACATTGCATGGCTTCCATTGGTTTTGCAAGACCTCATTTGATGATCTAAGTATGGGTGGTCTATTTTCAGGGAGAAACACTTAGGGCACCCTATGTCTGTTTTTAATTTTAAAATTTCAGATAATGTTAAACCAGTAGATACTATAATGTATTCTTGAGGTAAGATGTAATAATGCATTTTTAATATGATTTTTGTTTCCTCTGTTCCTTTTTTCTATCATCTAAAACTTATTTTCTGATTACATACAAAATTTTTTTTCAGTTTTTTATACAACTATTCTACATATTGTAAATTTATTGTGAAATCAACATTATTATCTTTTTGCTGATGTGATAGATTAATATCTGACATTTCAATTTCCTATGAAACTTTAAGAGGTGTAAAAATAACTCATCTCTGTGTGTGTGTGCGCGCGCGCACGTTTTGAGAGGAGTCTTGCTCTGTTGCCCCTGGGTAGAGTGCTGTGGCACATCATCATAGCCCAGTGCAACCTCAGCTCCTGAGCTAAACTATTTTTCTTGCCTTGGCCTCCCAAGTAACTGGGACTCCAGGTGTGTGCCGCCTCATGTGGCTAGTTTTTCTATTAGAGATGGAGTCTTGCTTTTGTTCTGGCTGTTCTAAAACTCCTGAGCTCAAGCAGGGCCTCCCAGATTGCTAGGATTACAGATGTGAGCCACCCCACCTGGCCTACAACTAATCTTTCCTTACATTTATTTTGTCAGATAGAAGAGAGGCAGTGAACTTGAGTCCGTTTCATTGTGTACTACGTGTCATGATGCCAATGGTTTACTTCTTATATCAAGCATTTTCACCCGAGTCACTTGGATTTTTTGACTTATGTACTCTTTGCTTAATGTTCTAAGTCTTAGCCATTAATCTGTCTTTAAACCTCAGACATCATTTTTGGTGAATAGGATAAGCTATATTGATCTGCTAAAATAATTTTTTATTTAATAAAACTTGAATGCCTCTCCTTAAAAATCAAGTGCTGGAGGAGGGGTGAGATGGCTCACACCTGTAATTTTAGCACTCTTGGAGTCTAAGGCAGGTGGATTGCTTAAGCTCAGGAGTTTGAGATCAGCCTGAATAAGAGCAAGACCCTGTCTCTATTAAAAATAGAAAAACTAGCTGGGTTTTGTAGCAGGTGCCTGTGGTCCCAGCTGCTTGGGAGGCCAAGACAAGAGGATTGCATGAGCCCAAGTTTGAGGTTGCTGTGAGCTGTGAGGATGCCATGACACTTTACCCAGGGCAACAGAGTGAGACTCTGTCTCAAAACAAAAAATGAAGTGCTGGAAATGAGTTTAAGGTATCAGCCATTTGGTGAAGTCCTGATTTATCAGTCCCAAAGTAATGGATTTTGAAAACAGTGGTTTTGTTTCACGTCATGACTTTTGAATGTTTGTTACATGCCATAAATAAATAAATTCCTATCTCTTTCTAACCTATTCATGGAAAACCTGCTTTACTGCATTCTTCCCCGTCAGCTTTAGAAATGTGTACTTGACAAATAAAAATTGCGTGTATCTGTGGTGTGCAATGTGATGTTTTAATATATGTTGTTCTACTGCATTCTTAATGAACATTTGTGTTTTAACTCCTTGACACGTATTAGTTATATAGTTCAAAGAAATTATTTCCCTCTTAGTACTAGGTATATTTGTTTTTTGTTTACAAACTAACATTCTACTGTTATAATTTTTTTCTTTTACCAGTTTCTCAAACAATTAGGTTTACATCCTAACTGGCAGTTTGTTGATGTCTATGGAATGGATCCTGAACTCCTTAGCATGGTACCAAGGCCAGTCTGTGCAGTGCTGCTTCTCTTCCCTATTACAGAAAAGGTAATTGCTTAGTAAGATATAATATATACAATTAAAAAATATTTTTTACAAACTTCTTACAAGATTTTTAGTAAATAAAATCTTTATGAACAAATGATCCCCTTCTTGCAAAAAATTAGTTTATCTGGGCAGTAAGGAAATCTTAAAAATGTCTTATTAATGAGATGATATTTAGACTTTGATTTATAGATTTATAGTAAAGCTGTAGGTTAGTCTATTGGTAAGCTCAAATATAGTTTAGTTGGCAGATATGGGATGTGTTATTTAAAAAAACTATTTTTAAAAGTTTGTATTTAAATTTAAATCTCCATATTTTAAACCTTTTTTCTAGAATAATGTACTAAAAAAGATGTGTATATGTATGTATATGTATGTAAGTATATGTATATATGTGCGTGTGTGTAGATATATGCAGGGTAGCCATAAAGTTTGTGTGCAAATTGCACACATATATACAGTGTATATACCTACATCCATACATAACATCTCATTAATTTTAAATCACACACAAACTTTATGGTCACCCTGTATAATGGACCAGAACTTAAAACTTTTTAAATACCTTTTTTTTTTGAGACAAAGTCTCACTTTGTTGTCCTTGGAAGCGTGTTGTGGTATCATAGCTCATAGCAACCTCAGACTAGAGCTCAGGCCTTCCTTTTGCCTCAGCCTCCCAAGTAGCTGGGACTACAGGTCCTGCCACTACACCTGGCTATTTTTTTTTTTTTTTAGAGCCCAGGTTTCACTCTTGGTCAGGCTGGTCTCAAACTCCTAAGCTCAGGCTACCTACCCACTTTGGCCTCCCAAAGTGCTAGGATTACAGGCCTGAGCCACCACACCCAGGTTAAATTAGCATCTAGTTTATATCCTTCTGCATTTTATGTATTTTACTTTATTTATTTTTTAGGGATAGCATCTCAAAAGAAAAGGTGGTGATTTCATCTCCTTTGGGTATATGCATGTATCCAGAAGAGGAATTGCTGGGTCATATGATAGTTCTAGTTTTAATTTTTTTTTCTTTTTTTGAGATAATCTCGTTCTGTTGCCCTAGATAGAGTGCTATGGTGTCATAGCTCACAGCAACCTCAAATTCTTGGTTTCAAGTGATCTCTTGCTGCAGCCTCCCAAGCAGCTGTGACTGCAGGTGCCTGCCACAACACCCAGCTAGTTTTTCTATTTTAATAGAGACAAGGTCTCTCTGTTGCTCAGGCTGGTCTCAAATTCCTGAGCTCCAGCAATCCACCTACCTTGGCCTCTCAGAATGCTAGGATTACAGGTGTGAGCCACCAGGCGGGCCCTATTTTTAATTTCTTTAGGGAAGTCCATACTCTTTTTCTATAATGATTGTAGTGATCTATATTCCCACCAGTAGTGTGCTAGGGTTCTCTTTTTCACACCCTCACTAACATTTATTATTGCTTATCTTTTTTATAATAGCTATTAATGGTGGTGTTTTGAATATGTCTTTTATAATAGTGCATACCAGCCAGTGAATCACAGGTAATGAGGTGATAAATTTATTTCTCTCTTGACATTTATGTCACTTGACCTTGTGTTTTATTGGGCAGGGCTATAATTACTTTTCCTTTTCCCCCTGTTCTTGCTTTGGATCATTTTAGGGTTTTTTCCTAAACATTAAATCTTGAGAAGTTATCAAATCTTATTTTAGATTGTCAACAGGAATGTTAACAACAAACTAAACTAAAACTGTATAAACTTCTTAGCGTAAGACTTTAATATGGGAATATCTCCAGTTTTTATCATACAAATTTATATGAATAAATTAATGTTGAGGTTTTCTCAAAATGTTATTTAAAATTTAATTTAGAACTGCATTCTTAAAATTCATATTTTGAATATAGATATATTTGTTTTATGAAGCAGTTTCTTTTCTTTTTGAGACAGAATCTTGCTCTGTCACCCCGGGTAGAATACAGCAGCATCATCATAGCTCCCTGCAACCTAAAGCCGGGGCTCAAGCCATTCTCCTGCCTCAGCGCCCCCCTAATAATTTGGGACTATAGAAGGGTACCGTTATGCCTTTTTTCTTTTTTTCTATTTTAGTAGAGATTGGTGTCTTGATTCCTCTCTAGCTCCTGAGCTCAGGCAGTCCTTCCCCCTTGGCCTCCCAGGGTGCTAGCATTATAGGCATGAGCCACCATTCCTAGGCTTGAAGCATTTTT